GTGAGCGGGCCCCGGGGCACTGACGCCGCGCCCCCACTTACTTCCCCAGGTGGTCAGGCGTCAGGAACGGGCAAAAGGTGCGCATGACTCTCCGGAAGTTATTTCGGCCGATGAGCCCCGTGTCGCCGAGATCATAGGACCGCAGCGTGTGGTGGAAATCCTGCAGACGCCTGGTGACCGAGTCACGGACGATCTCCTCCACCTGGCGGAGAGAACGGCGCCGGGCACCCCTGTGACCCGGGCGCGGCACCGGCGGGGCCGGGGGCCCGGCGGGGCGGAGGACTCACGGAATCCCAGGCCAGGAGCAGCGGCCCCTCGGTGTCCGGGCGGGACGTCTTCCTCGTCTGCGGAGGGAAGTGGTCAGCCAGCACGGCCTGAGGCGGAGGCCCAGGGCCGGCTCGGGCCGGGAACAGGCCCGGGCGCAGCCGCGCCCACTTCTCTAGAAGCAGAACGAGCATGAAGAAATCCGCCCAGAGATCTAGCGAAGTGGACTCGGGGGCTGGGCAGGCGCCTCCGTGCGAGGGGATGGCCGGCACGGGGGACCGGGCTGGCCAGGGCCTGCTGGGGCCTGTGTGTGTGCTGGATGTGCATTTCCCCACTCACAAAACTTAAAAGGCACAGTTTGGGGCCCAATAATTCCATTCTAGAAGATTCACACTAGCGATTATCTCAGGTGACACAGAAGCAGGGGCCCGGGGCGTGGCGGGGCTCAGAAAGGGGCGTTGCGGGGGCGGCCGCGGGGAGCTGTCTGCGCCCCGAGGGACTGCGGAGCAGTGTTTTCTCTTGACATTAGCGTGAACAGTAGGTTCATAATGACATTAGCTGATGTCATACAACGTATACATCCACGTCATCGAGTCGTGTACTACCCAGGCAGTGTTAACGCATCCCACTGTGTCTCAGCCGAGCTGAAACTGAACCTGAGTACATGCAGGCAAGCAGGTTTGGAGGCAGGGTCCTCCCTGGGGGCGCCAAGGTCAGGACGCAGCCCTGCTCGCCGGCCGCAGCCACGCCAGCACGAGCTCCCCGGCCAGGGAGCGACCCCCAGGGCGCGGCAGCCCTCTCCTGTCTCCCCGCTGCTCCCTCAGCCGTGTGTTTCAGTCCGTCGGCCTGTTCTGCTCCCCACTGTCTCTGGGGCAGCCTCTCACTGCCCTGCACCTCTGGCCTGTACCCCAGCTCTGTGTGCCCAAATAAATCTTAAAAAAGAACAGACAGCAAAGTGAAGCAGCGGTACCATTCTCTGGGGTCAGCGTCCTCTTATTCCAGCTGCTTAACCCGTGACCCCTAACTTCTCAGGCCGTTTGCTCCGGTTATTCATCCGCTGGCCAGACGGCTCCGGAAGGGTTCTGGGCCCCGGGCCGGACCCCCAGGGAGGTCCCTCTGCCCTCGTGGAGAGGTGCCCGAGGGGCACGCAGGCGTGGCTCGGGGGCAGCAGGACGGGCTTTCTAGGGGTGTCGGAGGCACACA